GACGACGACGACGACGACCACAACAGCGACGACGACCACGACGACGACAACGATGACGACGACCACGACGACGACGACGACGACGACGACGACGACGACGACGACGACCACGACGACGACGACGACGACGACGACGACGACGACGACGACGACGACGACGACGACGACGACGACGACGACGACGACGACGACGACGACGACTACCGACGTCGTCCATGGGCATCCGGAGGTGCACCATGTGCACAGGCAGCGCGGAGATTTGGTGCACGCTTTTGTTGCTGCTGTAGCAGGGTCTATTGTATACGCAGATTCTGTGGCGCATGCAAGTAGAAGTGCACGCAGGCCGCGCGCTGCACGAGGGCATCGTGATGTACCCGGGCACTATGGTGTAGACATGTTTTGTGGTGTACACAACTGTTGCTGCAACAGAGGTTATGGTCCACGCAGGCATCCCAGGCATGGTCGTGTGCAGAAGCGATGCGGAGCACGGCCATTGTGTTCTACCACACCTTCTAGTGCATGCAGACGCTGCGGTGTACGCATCCGCTGTTGTGCGTACAGTCGCTATTTTGCTATGGTGTACACAGACGGTGTAGGCCCAGAACATGGGACTGTTTCCTTCGCCAGAAAACATAATAATCACAAATAAAGTACATATTGGATTTGATACGTTCGGGTCCCCCGCGATTTTCCGGACTTCGGTCCCGCTGAGGCCTTGGAAGCGTACGCAGTTCTTTGGTGTACACAAGTATTTTGGTGCACCAGAGTTGTGGTCCACACGTGTGGTGCTGAAGCAGCAACATTGATGCACATAAGCGTCGCACTGTACACAGGCACTGTGGTGTACACAGGCGCTGTGGTACACACAGCTGCTGTGGTGTACACAGGCAGTGTGGTGTACGCAAGTCCTGTTGTGCAGATATGCGCTGCGGTGTACACACGCAGCTGTGGTGTGCAAAGGCGCCGCGATGTACACTAGACAGGCACTGGTGTACACAGACATGGTCGGCCCCAAACGGGGGGACTGCACCCCAGGCTAGGATCAACCATCACAAACAGCTATGGCGCAATTGTTCGCCAGGTTCTGTGGTCCCCGCGGCTCTTGTAGTGTGCACAAGGATCGGCGTGTACACAGGTGTTCTGGTGCACGCGGCTTCTGTAGTGTAAATCGGCACTGTGGTGTACACAGGCACTGTTGTGTAGACAGGCGCTGCGGTGTACACAAGCAGCTGTGGTGTGCAAGGGCGCCGTGGTGTCGTGTACACCAGACAGGCACTGTGGTGCACACAGACACTTTTGGCCTCAAACAGGGGGAGCGTACCCCAAAGCAGTAATCACAGATAGCTTACGTATTGAATTTGACACGTTCGGGTCCCCTGCGATTTTCCTGATGTGGGTTTCGTCGGAACCTTCCAGGTGCACGGAGACGCTGTGGCGCAAATGTGGGCCATGCGCTGTGGTGCAAGCAGAAGTTGCTGCTGAAGTGGTCATCCATGTTGTACAGGAGCGTTGTGGCGCACGCATTCTTTGCCGTGTTCACTGGCATTGTGGTACACGCCTACATTATAGTGTACACAAGGTTCCGCGGCTACTCTCAGGAATCCTATCCCGCGTATCCCAATGCTAGCTGTCCAGTCATATCCCTGGGCATTCTGAGACGGCGCCCGCATCGTCACAGCACCAAAAGCAGCATCGTCGCAGCATCGTTAGCAGCATTGGGGGCCGAAGCACCAGTGCGCGCGGGCATATGCAGGGATGCCCACAGCGCGAGGGCTAGGTTATCGGCTGATCCCTCCCCCTGCCCCTCAGGATAACCCGGGTTATGGCCGATAGGAGAAAAAAACAGCCTCCTGCGAGCCTCATTCAAAGTCTGCCTAACGCAAAAAGGCAAAGACGAGGAGGGGCAACGAGGCTCAGCGGGAATGCATCGACCCCTGACTGGGAAGCCACCTGAGGTGGCTTCCCAGTCAGGCGTGTGAACAGTTTTCGCGCCGCGGAGCGGGAGCCCGAGGCGACCGAGGCCCGGGAGGCGCGGCTCCGAGGAGCATGAGCTTGAGATCCGTGCGCTGCAGTTGTTTCACGCCAGGCCTTTTGCCCCGGATGCGGGCCCAGGGACCACCACATATCGGTCCGGCTTGAGACATGAAGCGGAAAGGTGGGGTCAGGATTTTGGTCGTGATTTTTTGTGATGTTCTTTGCTTGTTCGCACGTAACGTCGGTTGAGACACAGTCGTGGCGGACGTTTTTTGCCCTTTTCGGTCTTCTGTGGCCCTTGCCTGGCCCCAGGGCCGTCAAACAACGATTCGTGAGTCAAAACTGGCCCTAGAGACAGGGTCGAGATTTCCCGGGGATCCGGGCTCCGTACTGAACAAATCAAGACATTGCATGTCTAGGAGAGGAGGGCGAGTTGAGACAACGGCAACTTAGTTGGCCTTCTGGGGGCCTCTTCGACGCCACAGCTGGACGTAGCTCGGAACACTGATGCGTCAGTCTAGGCCTCCCAAGTGGGATCCGAGCAGATGGGCTCGGAGGACCGCGCCGCATTGCCGATGCGTCGGCGATGCGGCTCGATGTGGAGCCTCATTTCCTCCACGCCGACGTCGCCGATACATAGTCGATGCGGCGTGATCCTCCGACCCCGTCTAGGGTAGGTTCGCGTCGTGTCGACCAGCGGCGACCCCGCCGATGGCGTTCAAGATTGAACGCCGCCAGGGACGGCTCGTTCGATGCTGAACGATCAGTCGCTTCGGAAACGGCCGCTTGTTTCAGGCTGGGCGACACCTCCGGTGTCAGAAGCCAGCGCCGAAGTCGGCACGACACGCACCTGCCGCACTCGAACTCCACGTGGGATGCCTCTCAGCAGGACCGAGTCCGAGCTGCCGTTCTGCCGCAGCTCGCTCTGGCCCCGAGCTCTGCAGGCGCTGAGGCGCGCGGGGGCCCAGGGCGCGGAGCAGCTGGAGGCGCAGAGGAGGCAGCTGCAGGGCGACCTGGAGCGCGAGAGGCCTCATGGGGCAACGTCAGGGGGAGATAGGCTCAAGGGGGTGGGGGGGCATCGATCCTCAAGGGGTTCGCGTCTCGAGGCGTTCGGCAGTTTTCGTCGGTTCTCGGCAGCTTTCCATCCTCGGGATGCCTTCCAGCGGCGGCTGCGCCTCGCCGAGGGCGTTCAAGGGGTGCCCAGAGGCGTTAGGCGTAGGCTCAGGGGTGGATGCGTCGACCCCCGATCGCCCATTGATCGCCGACAAGGGGCCTGACGGCCCAGCTAGCCCACGACCGTGCGGCTTCGCAATCGAGCGCCTACCGCCGATCTATCGGCGATGCACGATGTGCTCCCCCCTGAGCCAGTCCCCTGGTGGTTTTCCTGTCCAATGGAGGGACTCCGGCGGCCGTTCGGGACGATCTTCAGGAGGGAAAAAACACACAGGCACAATTAATCGTCGATCCCCAAGAAAATATGGGAAAATATGGGAATTTGGGCGGGAAGACAAAAACCCAGAAAATATTTGAAAATATGGGGAGCCTTTTTATTTGTGTGTGTATTTATTTGTGTGTCCCAGGGCCCCTTCAGATCTGGGCACCCCCAGAACGCCCTCTGCGAGGCGCAGCCGCTGGAAGGCACCCCGAGGCTGCAGATCCGCCGAGAGCCGACGAAAGCGCCCGAAAACCTCGGGCCTCGAAGGCTTATCGAAGAGACATTTTTTAGATAGCGCCGTCCAAAAGTGCCGAGAAATCAATGGCCAAAGTGACATTGAATTTCTGAATGAGGTCAACAGTGTCAAGCAAATCGTTGAAGCAGCGTTCAAAAGTTCACTTTGCCGCACACGAACCTATCCTCACTACACCGTGGGCGATGCTTAAGAAAACTTACATTTTCGGCCAGAGTCTCGATTATTCTTAATGTTTCAATGTGAATCCTAAGATTTCAATCGAAATTCTGGGCTTCTAGTCAAATTCTGAGACTATGAATTTCTTAACCCATGATTTCTTAAGCATTTCGCAGGGTGTACCGTTACTTCACCGTCGCACGTCTCTCTCCATCGCTGCCCCTCGAGGCTGGGCAGGGCGGCGCTGGAGCGGGAGGTGGGCGACCTCCGCCGCCGGGCGGAGCAGCGGCCGAGCGAGGCCGCGGCGGCGGCGCAGTCGGCCGGGGCCCTGGCGCTGCAGAGGCAGCTGGAGCCTCGAGACGGGGGTCAGTGCAGACGGGGGTCAGCCAGAGCGCCAGATCTTGCAGGATCCTGCAGGGCCAGGGTCGCATTGACCCGGGTTTGGGTGCAGGATCCTGCAGGATCTTGCAGGATCCTTCGCATTGACCCGGGTTTGGGTGCAGGATCTTGCAGGATTTTGCAGGCCTGATTGACCCGGGTCTGGATTGACCCGGGTCAGAAGATCCCCGAAGGCAGCTGGAGCTGGAGGCGAACGTGAACCGGAGCCTGCGTTCCGCGAAGGAGGCGGCGGAGCTGGAGGTGGAGATCCAGGCGCCGTGGGGAGAAAGGCGCCGTGTATGTGTGTTTGCGTGTGTTCATCACGCACCGCTGCTGGAGCGTCCCTCTCGTTGCTCGACCGCCGTCTGACCGTCTTCTGCGCCCGCGGACCAAACAGTGCAAGCACGCACTATGCATGCGTTTAGACATTCGTGTACATATGATGTATATTCATGGGCTGGCCAGCGTGGACCCCAAGCAGTGTGTGATTTAGCCATCTATGTTGTGCACACTACATGGTGCAATGTAGGTTGTGCAAGCGATGTGGAGCAGTCGATGTCGTACAATCTATGTGGTGCAATCTACGTGGTGCCATCTATGTAGTGCAATCTTTGTTGTGCCATCTATGTGGTGCAATATGAGTGGTGACATCTATGTGGTGCAATCCACTCTGCTGAACTTGAAGTCGTCATCTCCACTGCTCGCGCAAACATCCCACCCACTCACCCGCAACTTGGTTTGCAAAACCTCTGAAGACCGACTACGACGACACCGACGACAACGACTACGACGACACCGACGACGCCTCCGACGACTTCGACGACGACAACGACGCCGACGCCGACGATGACGAAGACGACGACGACGACGCCAACGAATGCGACGACGAGGGAGGAGGAAGGACGACGACGGCGACAACGACGACAACGACGACAACGACGAGGGAGGAGGGAGGACGGCGACGACGCGAACGACGAAGAAGGAGGAAGGATGGCGACGCCGACGACGACAACGACGAGGGAGGAGGGAAGACGATGACGACAACGACGACGACGACGACGGCGACGAAATATGAGGGACGACGACGAGACGCCGACGACGGACGACGACGACGAGGGAGGAGGAGGAAGGACGACCACGGCGACAACGACGACGGAAACGACCACGACGCCAGAGAGGACGATGACGACGAACACGAGGAAAGACAGGACGACGTAGGCGACGATGACGACGACGACGACGACGCGGGAGGAGGGAGGACGGCGACGACGACGACGCAAGAGCGCGCGCGCACGCTTTTGTTGCAAATCCGTGTTGCGAAACCTAGGGTTTTTGTAGGTTTTTTGGGCACGATTTTGAAATCCTTCCGAAACCGATGGGTTTTGAAGGATTTCGGCGTACGCGCGCGACGACGCGCGCGTCTGCACTTCGTCTTTTTTTTGCAGAGGATTCTCGCGACTCCACACGCGCAAGGGCGTTCGACAGATTTCGACATGCGCGCGCGCGAAGCCCGTTTGGTAGCATTTTTTTTTGTTGTTGTGTTTTTGTATTTTTTTTGGAGACTCGATTGCGAAATCCTTCCGGCACCGAAGGTTTTTGACGGATTTCGGCATGCGCGCGCGTGTGCACTTCGTCCCTTTTTTTGCAAAGGGATTCGCGAAAAAGTGCTATGTTACAACAACAAATGTCACCGCATAGTGTTTTTACAAGGGAGCCTCAGGGGGGGGATACCGGCCCCCCGGGGATAGTGTTAATTCATACTTAGGATGGACATGTGGTCAGAATCATATATGATTTTCATACCCGGAAGGGGGGGCGATAACGCCGGGGGGGGTAGATCCTATTTTGTTTTTAGAAAGGAGAATCCACCAGTGCTCAACTTGAAGTTGTCCACTCCACTGCTCGCACAAACATCCCATCCACCCACCCGCAGCTTGGTTTGCAAACCACATGCGGAAGCGATTGCGATGCATTCTTGGTGTTGGCTGGTGCATCTCGGCGGCCGCGCTAGCCCGCGCATGCTCGCGCGCGCAGCGGCCAGCTAGTTCTGCGCGACCGGCGCGAACGCGGTGGCGCTGACCACTCGGCACATCCCACCGGGCACTTCACAGCGAGTCGGCGACTTGGGCGGACGCGGTATAATGGCAACGTCGACAATGGTAGACACGATTATGATAGTAGCGATGCTGGTGGCGATGCTGACAGCGACGACGGGGCAGCAAGTGACGGTGCCAAAGCTGATCACGCCGACGACGCTGACGGCGTCTTCGTGTCGGCGATGAAGGTTTTGGAAGGAGTTCGACACGCGCGCGCGGCAGACGCGCCGCATGGTGTTATTTGACACGGATCGTGCCTTTTTCAGCACGCGCTCGAAGGCGTGCGAATGATGTCGGCGTGCGGCGCCAGAGGCCCGCTTGGTCGAATCCCGTGGGCTTGTTGAAAATCGTATGTTTCTTAAGAATTTGGAAGAGCGCGCGCAAACCTTTCTGTTAAGTGATGTTCTTTTGATACTCGGTTTTGAAATCGTTACGAAACAGAGAGTTTTTGAATGATTCGGGCAGCCGCGCGCGACGACGCGCGCACGTGCATGTCGCCCCGTAGTTTGAAACAAAAAACATTCTCGCAACAGCGCGCGTTCAAGGGCGTTCGAACGATTTCGACATGCGCGCGCGCGAAGCCCGCTTGGTACCATGTTCTGAACATGCTGAAAACAAACCATTGGTGTTTGAAGGGTTCGGCAAGAGCGCGCGGGCGGATTTTCAAATATCATTTTGGGCGAGGAAGTCGTATGTGTTTTTACAATATTTTTTGAAGCGGAGTGTTGACATTATTGAAACCACGGTGTGTTTGTAAGGATTTCGACATGCGCGCGCAGCGGTCGCGCGCATTTGCCCCGCATGTTATTTATTACAATGGATTCGAAAGACAATGCTATATTAGAACGACAATGCCACCGTATAGTGTGTTTGGCTAAGGAGCCGAAAGGGGGACCAATACCGGTCTGGTTGGGATAATATGAATTCGCAGGTCGGGTGGACATTGGGTCAGAATCATACGTGTTTTGCATAGATTCCCGGGGAGAGAAGTCCGGGGGGGGGGAGGGTGGTAGATCTTCCTTTTTAGAATGGAGAATTGATTATCACAAACGTGTTGACACATCCCATGCTTTGCAAACATCCCACCCACCCACCCGCAAGATCTTCCTTTTTAGAATGGAGAATTGATTATCACAAACGTGTTGACACATCCCATGCTTTGCAAACATCCCACCCACCCACCCGCAACTTGGGCTTGCAAAGCCCATGCGGTGGCGATTGCGATGCATGCTTGGCGTTGGCTGGTGCATCTTTGCGGCCGCGCCAGCCCTAGCACGCGCGCGCATCGGCCAGCTAGTCTGGCGGCACCGACGCGTCCGCTGTGGCGCTGACCGCAGCGAGTCGGCCACTTGGGCGGGCGCGGTATCATGGGCACGCCGAAAACTGTAGACACGATGGTGATAGTAGCGATGCTAGTGGCGATGTTCGCACCGACCAAGGCGCGGCCCGTGCGGGCGCCGATGCTGATCACGCCGGCGACGATGACGGTTTTCTCGCGTCGTGGATGAAAGTTTACAAAAAAAAGTTCGACATGCGCGCGCGGCCGACGCGCGAGAGTGGCCCGCATGGAATTATTTGACACGGATCGTGCCCCCCAGCACGCGCGCAAGGGTGTGCGAATGATGTCGGCATGCGGCGCTAGATGCCTGCTTGGCAGAATTTCAGGATCTTATTAAACAGACATATATTTCTTAAGAATTCGCAAGAACGCGCGCGCGAACTTTTCTGTTAAGTGATGTTGTTTTGATACTCGCTTTTGAAATCGGTACGAAACCGTTTTTTTTTCGAATGGTTCCGGCAAGCGCGCGCGACAACGCGCGCGTGCACTTTGTTCCGGTTTTGAGAAAGGATTCTCGCAACAGCACGCGCGCGCAACGGCGTTCGAACGATTTCGACATGCGCGCGCGCGAAGCCCGTTTGGTAGCATGTTCTGGAAATGTTGGAGAGAACGCGTTTCACGGGCGCTTGCCTTGGGAACGTTCGGCGGCGCGTTTCGAACAGGGGGGTGCCCCCCCCCAACATTCGGCGCCGTCGATCAAAACCAGGTGGACTCCCCTCTCCCCAACCCCCCCCCTCCCGACCCCCCCCCCTCCCAAGGGGGGCGGGGGTTTGAACCCCCCCCCCCTTTCGGCGTCGGCGCCGGCGGCCGCCAGCGGCCGCCAGCAGCGCCGACGGCGGGGACGCAGCAACGATGACCAGAAGCAGCACAAGGGGGGGGGGTTCAACCTCCCCCCCCTGGCGCCGAGGGGGGGGTGGAATTCCCCCCCCCCCTGGCGCAGGCGCCTGCGCCGGCGCTGGCGGCGGCCAGCAGCGCCGGCGCTGGCGCCGGCAACGGCGGGGACGCAGCGACGACAACCACGACTACCACCACCGCCAACACTACCACTACCACCGCCTCAACTCACCACCGCCACCAACAACCCACCACACAACCACCACCACCACCACAGCCGCCACCACCACCACAACCCACCATCACCACCACGACCACAAAAACCCACCACCACTACCACCACCACCGCCACAATCTACCACGCCACCACCACCACCGCCACAACCACCACCACTACCAGCAGCACGACCCACCACCACCACCACAAACCACCACACCACCACCGCCACCAGCATAACCACCAGCACCACCTCCACAAACCACCGCCACCAGCACAACCCACCACCACAAACCACCACCACACCACCACCAAACCACCACCACCACAACCCACCACCACCGCCACCACAAACCACCACCACACCACCACCACACCACCACCTTCACCACCCACCACCACAACCACCACCATCACAACAAACCACCACACCACCACCACAACCACTAACCCACCACCACCACCAACACCGTCGCTCTCTTCGACACTCCCCGCCGCCGCCGCCCGCCGCCGCAGGCGCCGGCGCCGGCCCAGAAAATGAAATCGCCGCCCCCGCCGCCGCCGCCGCCAGCCGCCGCCGACGCAAACGCTGGCCCGAGGAGAGGGAGAGAGGAAAAGTAGGGGAGGAAAGGGGGGGGTTCGAACCACGCCACACCTGCATCCAGGGGGGGGTCTGGATCCCCCCCATCCAAGCGACCACAGAACGCGCTCTTTCAAATATTGAAAATCTTATGTATGTTTTCCAAGAGTTCGCAAGAGGGCGCGCACCATGCGCGCACGACGACGC